TTGGTTCTGCTTTTACTATATTGCTGTTCAAATTTTAGTTACAGCTTGTTTTTGGTGATGATAGAGTTTTGGAATGTTCATTTTTAACCAATGGTAGGGTTTGGGAAGATTTGTTTTTAGGCTGGTCTGTTTATCAGTGGCTGTGACCGTAAATGCCTGTGATTTCCACGAATTTGGAATGATTGTCCGAAACTGTAGCTACATATATCTATATAAGGTACTTGTATTTTAGTTTTTAATTCTATATTTNTACATCTTATTTTGGTTCTGCTTTTACTATATTGCTGTTCAAATTTTAGTTACAGCTTGTTTTTGGTGATGATAGAGTTTTGGAATGTTCATTTTTAACCAATGGTAGGGTTTGGGAAGATTTGTTTTTAGGCTGGTCTGTTTATCAGTGGCTGTGACCGTAAATGCCTGTGATTTCCACGAATTTGGAATGATTGTCTGAAACTATAGCTACATATATTTATATAAGGTACTTGTATTTTAGTTTTTAATTCTATATTTTTATGTGCCATTTTTTTGACTAATGCAATGAACTTTGCACACTCAACTGGTGAGACTGTAGTTTATAATTACTTATTTTGTTGTCTTTGTAATTCTGTTTTATTCTTTTGGGTCATAAAATTGAATCTAATTTAGGCTACCATTCAACTTATTGATGTGAAATGGCAATACTCTTGTACTTTAGCAGCATTCAATTGCTAATGGAAAAGTGTGAACATGAGAAAAAGAAAGACATGAATGCAAGACATGATGGTGTATCAAACAGTCTTATAAGATATTTGTTGAGATTCAAGGGTTTGGGAATGCATGTGAAATAAAGCGTAGTGTTAGGGACATTTGCTTTTGGGGTTTGGGCAATATATTCTACCTTCGACTGCCTGTGATTTCAACTAACTAACTAAATACTTGTACAATATGTTATTCCTCATTGAAATAGCATAAACTTCACTATTTCGTTGCTGTTTGTTGAGCACGTAAATGGGTCACATTCACAACACTTTACCCATAAATCACAATTTAGGACAAGATATTATGTGTGTTGTGAAATTATAGCTTTAGCACTTTTACTACTCACGAACTTTAAGTATGTTCAATGAATATGAAGGATTGCATGTGACTAGCTAAATTCTAGTGAATTTATTACATCTATTGAGGTTACTCTTTTAATTGGTTTTGACAAGAAATTATGTTATCTAGGAAAAAGAAGAATTCACATGGAGGCAAATCGTATTCTCTCTTCTCGACCTCCTTTATGCTACATTAAAATTTTGTTTTACTTGTTGAACTGGTTGTCCTTGCTGCATCCATTGTGAGCAAATATGGAAAAGGTGAGTTCTCTGTGGTCCTCAACACAAGCCCTTGATCTTTTTCTTTGAAAGAATATTTGACTTCTTTTTTAGTAATCTGAACCTGAAACACATATGGTTTTAGGAACTAGAAGGTATAAATTCCTATAGGGCTAATTGCTTTTCAGAAGTATATATATTAGTTTGATAATTGGGAATCTACTGTCTATACATCTTTTGATTTAGTTTGTGGTTCCTGATAATTGTAAAGTCATGTTTAGCCTGTAGAGAGAAGTTATGCTCTCAACCAGGGAGGTTATGCTCCCAACCCCATTCTCTATAAAGTGACAATTCTACTATTGTGAATAAGAGAATCCATTTTTTCATCTCTATTATCTGTTGTCAGTGGGTGTTATTGTTTGGGTTTCATCTCTTTTATCGGCATCGAGAGGGTGCGTTGTTAGGTTCCAAACCCAGGAACCTAACAGATTGAGTTTTTGGTCAGTCAATAGATTAGTGAAATGGTCGATTTTAGATAAGAAGAGGGGTCTTGATAGGTGAAAGTTTGGAGGAATGGTTATACTTGTAAATGTGATGTTTGATGTTTACTTGGAGGTCATTTGGGACTTAGTTGGTTACTTGGTGCATTAGAAACCTGGTTTAAAGCATGAGAAAACTGATATATGAGTTTTGAGTTATAGGTTGATTAGTTGAATCTGGTTTCCTGGTCAAATAACCAAATTGGTATCCAATTTAAGATACAAATTGTTTTTAAATCATTTCTAGTGTTTAGGATGTCATTTGGATAAGTCTTATGTGCAACCAAATCAGAAAAATTAGGTTGTTGTCAAAAACTAACAAGAATAATCAATTATTTCACTTGATAATTGATTATGCCAGTCAAAATTTCATCCTTCATTCAAAGCTCTATGGAATAATAGATTATCTTACCTGATAATTGATAATTTCAGGCAAAAGGTCGTTTTTGTTTGAAATTTCACGCAAAAGGTCGTTTTTGTTTGAAATTTCTAAGAATAATTGACTATCAGGTGTGATAATTGACTATCACGTGTGATAATTGATTATCTCTAAAAAAAATTGGCACCTTGTATCCAGGTTTGGTTTCTTTTGTTTTCTTCTCTTATGCTTCTTATGAATGGAAATGTTTTAATACTTTAATTATTGTTTGGTAATATATTGAATATTATGATAGTTTATGCATGAGGTTATATATGTATTGAAGTATGGTTTGAAAATAGTTTTTAAGATGAAATTTTTTATGATTGTTTCAAGTAGAGTAATGTATTAATGTAGGGACTCAACATTGAAAGTTATCGTGATGTTTCAATAATCACTCCATCTTGGGTAGGAGATTATATAGTAAAGAATATTAGAAGGTCTTAGTTTATAATATGGTGTCTTTTGTTGATAGGTGGACTAATCTTGTGATAGCTTAGGACTTGTACATATTTATAATAAATCTGAAAAAGATAAAAAACTATGAAAACTTCAAATAATAATATGGTGGTTATAGTTAGAGGTGGCCAACGGAGCAACCCATCTTGTTTAAGCTGGACTTAGACTTTGGTCTGCCACTTAATAACAAGTTGATTTTTACAATCTGATTATAATGTGTTTTGTATAGTCTTCCTATATTTTTTTTGTTTATACGTCTAATTATCAGCTTGAGAAGCAGGATTAATATTTTTTTTATTACTGCAGATATAGCTTATAAATTATATCATGTATAGTATGTACAAGCAGGGTGACAGAAGGTATTGGAAAGTCTGGCGATCAGGCTGAGGGTGAAAGGAAAATACTGTTGCAATAGCTGCTCAGTTAATTGCTTCCTGCACACATTTCTACCAGTAGTTATCCCCCACAGAATCTATTTTCCGAATCACAATAAACAATTTCATAAATACCGAAAACTATTTCTGGAAGTTTTCTGATAGTGGTATAAAAAGCAACAGCCCGATTGCGATTTTCAGTTTGACCTTTTAAAAGATGGGTTGCAGATATTTATTCGTGATTTTAGGGGATTATTATACGGTTTATATCTCGTTATTTATATAACCAAAATATTATCTTTATATTTGAGACATTTACAATTATCGCAGAATTATGTGCAAATTATATGAAAAATAATGTGTAAATTATATGGGAGGCTTTTACTTTTAAATGAGTCCATTAATTACTATTAATTAATTGAATTTTATTTATTTCCAGATATTTTTTTCAATTTAAATTAGCATTACATTGGATTTGTTTTTACTTTGTAATTTTATATAAGATCGTATGATAAAATATTAATTTCTTCAATTTGTAATGTTAATTTTTTTGTTTGAATGTGTACAAAATTAAAAGGTAACCTACAATCTACCAAAAATAATACAATAATGAATTGTTTTTTAGGGTTAAAATAATTAAATTTTTAGTACTTTTTTATGTGTTTAAGAGTTATATAGGTTTTTTTAGTATTTAAATGAGTTGATGGAATAAATATTAATTAAATTTTATTTATTCATTTCTACAATATTCATTGTGTGTAATTTTGATATAACATCATGTAATATATTAGTTATTTTAATTTATAGCTAATTTTTTTAATTTAAATTACGTAAAACATTAAAAGATAATCTAATAAATGTTAGAAATGGTACAATAATTAATTATTTATTAAAAATTGAAATAAGTAGTAATATGTAAATAAAATTATAGATAATAATTTTTTTAATTAAATTATAAAAGGTAGTAATTAAAAGAAAATTGAATATGTTACAAGTTAATTGAAGTTGATAATATAAAAGCTTCACTTTAAATTATTCACCAACACTTTTATATTGGTGAAAACTAACTTATAAATTACGCGATGAGCTAATAGCTAGGTTGGGGTCTTATCAAATGCATTCTTAATTTTATCTAAAAGAAGTAGTAGTAACATTTTACAAATAAATCAAAATTAATTCTAAAGAAAAAAAGTCTTTTTATAAATATAGTATAGTGTTAAAAAATATTTAAATCCGATTTTACATTGTGAATATAATTTTTTTAACACAAAAGCATCAATCAAAAGAAATGGTATCATAAAAAAAATCACAACTACAAAGTAGAGTTATGGGTACATTTAACTTTATACCGAGTTAAATAAAAATAATAACTAACTCATAATAATATTTTTTAAAAATAGTAACTAAATATCATAGGAAGAGAATGAATATTTAACAATTTTTGTTAATAAAATCTTGAGAATATATCTGACATTTTCAGAAATTAAAACTCACATTCTTTTAAGATTTAAGTTTTAGAATGCATCTAATGATAAGATGGAAACAAATATTTAGAAATAAATAATCTCCAATTTGTTTAGATAACAATGAATATTTTCATTATATTTTAAAATAAAACAAATTTTTGGAAAATTGAGATGTTTTTGAATTTGTTAAAATTAAAATATGTTGACTAAAAACAAAACAAATATCATTCTGAAAAATAAAAAAGTGAATTTCAATTTAATGGGATAATCATTCCAATTTCTCATATTTTCTGAAAGAGAAACATATTTGAAAATTGTATAGTAATAAAATAACTTTTAGATTTTTTTAAAAATAAAAATATCTTAATTAGTTATTTAAAGACATAAATAAAATACATTTGGAGGTTTCCGTTTTTATTATAGGTTAAGAGTAGATATATATCAAAACGAAGTCGTTGGGAAGGTTGTTTCGTTCTCGTTTTGGGTCAGTAGTGAAAGCATTTTATAGAGCAACAGAACCTGATCAACGAATCTTTCTCACTTTTCTCTCTCGCCATGGCTATGGCTATGCAAAGCGGAATTGGGATCTCCAAGATCCTCTTCATCGCTGGAGCAGGTACATCTCTCTCGCTCTATATCTCTCTTAATAGCATGTCAGTAGCTACTTTTTTTATTTCATTTTTGTGATTTCACTTTCTTCCTTCAGGTTACACCGGCACTGTCCTCATCAAAAACGGCAAACTGTCCGATTTAATCGGCGACCTTCAGGTATTTCCAGTTCCACTACTTTTCTCGTCGTAATATTCTACATCTCTCTTAACTTCGATCTTTTTGAAATCCGCGTTAGAAATCTTGTGCGATTGCTTTTCTGTTCTTTTTTCATTTGAGTTATGGATTTTGTAACGGTGTTGTCGAAGTTGAGGAGGCTGTGTTGTGAAACGGGTAGTGTGATAGAATTTTGGAACATTTATTTTTAACCGATGGGGGTTTGGGAAGATTCGTTTTTAACTTCGTCTGTTTATCAGTGGCCGTGCGTGACCGCAAATACCTTTGGTTCCTACGAATTCGGTATGCTTGTGTTAAGCTGTAGCTACATATGGTGGTCATCTTGTATTTTCTATAGTCCTCGTGAATTAAGTTTTCCTTTTTTTAATACGCCTATTATCAGCTCGAGAAGCTGTATTATTGTTTCTTCTATAACTTCGGATATTGCTTATATATTATATTATATGTGTATGTGTGTATTTATGTATGCTGATGGTGTTCAGTGTCTCTATTTTTTGGGGTTGTAGCTGCTGGTGAAGGGATTTGAAAAATCTGGGGAACAGGAAGGTGAAAGTGAATATGCTGATGCAATAGCTGCTCAGGTAATGAACTGAGTGAACGTGTCTTAATGTCTTTTGTTTATGAAATGAGCTGGGAGGAGAATTTAAATTTTTTTATTACGGAAATGTTGCTTGACTTTACTACAGGTGCGTCGTCTGGCAAATGAAGTTCGGCAATTAACATCAAGTAGACCAATCACAGTACTGAATGGGGGTTCTGGACAAAGTAATATATTGAATTCTACTATCTAATTTGGCTGTTACTTAAGATGTAGTGTTTTACTTGTTATGTTTCTCTTCATTTCATATATAGGGTGTCAACAGGTTGATGTGTGTTGTGCAGATGTAGAGTGTATTTTGTATGATCCATGCATTGCTTTTGTAATTGTTAGTTCTCTTTTTTGACAGGTAATTTATCATCTCTTGTCGTTCCAGCTGCTGCCTTGGGTGCTCTGGGTTACGGTTACATGTGGTGGAAGGTGTGAAAATGTTTCTTGTTTGATTCTTGCACACTCTTCGAATAATTCCATTGAATGTTTGATGAGAAATTTTTCTGTATTTCTCGTTTTACAGTATTTTTATAGTGTTTTCTTAATTTTCTCACGTTTAAAAGTAACAAGTTGATGATATTCACCCTACAATTATTGTAATTTATTTTATGCATTTAATATTTCTGAATTAACTGCTTGTGATTCTGATTTCTGTTTCCTCCTTTCCAATAACAGGGCATTTCCTTCTCAGATCTTATGTACGTGACTAAACAGAGTATGGAAAAAGCTGTTGCAGATTTAACAAAAAAGTTGCAACATGCCTCTGATGTGATCGCTGTAGGTGTTCATTTATTTCTTGGCATTTTCTTTTTATATCTGTATGTAACTATGTTTGCTAGGTCTGCTTACTTATTGCACTGGAAACTGAGACTCCATTGATGTAGAATTTAATTTAAATCTTCTTCATTCAACTGGATTAATTATAATCTATCATTCATATGATTCACAACCAAGGTGTTTCACTTTGAATTTCTATGGAGTTGCTACTGTGCTTTAATTTGTACTACAGGATGACTTGTGTAGAATTGTAGTAGAAAGTGCTGTTTAAGGGTCAGTACAAATATATTGTTTGTAGACTCATGATCACAAACACCTTAAAAAAGTAAAAGAAGATCATCAAGGTTTCCCAAATCCATGAATGTAACCACCTCAATCTGTTCTGGCAAGATTTGATTGGGTAAGCAGTGATCAAGGGATAGTAATTTCCATAACCACTTAGTTTAAGGACCTATTGTTGCACAACACTTTTAACACAGGAAAGAGAAACGAAAAGAGTTGCCTACATTTTGTATGTAAGTTTGTATTCTGAATAATAAATGGTTTTCCCAATTACAAATAATTAGTCTGAAATTATTAATTTTATTAGAACACAGGACAGATGAAGAGATATAATATAACCCATCACCAATAAAGTGAACTATACATCCCTTGTCCCTAATAAGGGTGGGGGATCGTTCTGTTTGGAAGACTAAATATGAAAAATCATATGTAAATTATATAATAAGATTTTTACTCTTACAATATCCTGTCAATTGTGATGATGGCAGGATGCCAAGAAGCATTTGATCCAGAGAATTCAGAATTTAGATGACAAAATGCTCAAGCAGATTGATTTGGCCCGGTCAACAAAGGATGAGGTGCGTCTTTCGTCACATAAAAGTTTATGCTTACACCGGTGTTTGGCATCAAATGCATGCAATCATGACGATTTCCTGGCAAAATTTTAAAATGCTCTTACATGCATTCCTTTTCTATTTACAATTAGAGCTGGTGCTTACTTATTAATTCTTTCCATTCAAATGGATCAACTATTCTTTTGAAGTTAGTGACTTTGAAACTCAGTTTTGATGGATATCGATGTTAGTGAATAGTGTGGTAGTTACAGCAAAACCCTCCATTGGTCTGTCGTCTCATCCCTATTAGTGACCACTGAAGCTGCTCACATGCATATCATCTGATTTATTCTTATTCATTATACTTAGTACTTTATAAATCTTGAATTTTAGTTAGTAGTGGAATATCATGTTCTGTAAATATTAGATATGCTNGTCATCTGATTTATTCTTATTCATTATACTTAGTACTTTATAAATCTTGAATTTTGGTTAGTAGTGGAAGATCATGTTCTGTAAATATTAGATATGCTCCATACTTTCCCTCCTTCTATACCTCTTCTGGGAGCATGATAGTTTCTATTGAGGGCAAAACATTCAACATTTTTTTTAAGTAAACTCTATATTCTGCCATAGACCAGTTACCGTATCTTTACAATTGCTCACAATATACACCTTTTGACCATACAACTTCAAAACAGGTATATTGATTCTCTTCAATAAATTCAATCATAATTTTTAGCCTGAGGACTTGGGTTTCTTGCAACAAACAGTGGAACAAATGGTATGTAATGTGTTCACTTTCTTGTTTTGGCCAGTTGATTGCCATCATGGTTGTCTTGCTAGAATAGACGTATGATGATGGATATTTAGGAGTTCGGATTGATTATTTGATTTTCATTTGAACGAAAATATCTAATCTAAGTTGTCACAAAATAATGTTTGTGTTTTCCCCCATATTGGTTGGTTGTTTTATTAGACACTATCTATATTGTGCCTGTGATCATGCATGTACTTGTGTGCATCAAATTTTGAATTATTCTTATGTTGTATTGTTATGCCTTTTCAGGATGAAAGGTTGACTACATTGAGTTCTAAGCAGGTAAACTTTTTCCTGTCCTTGTTGAATATCTAATTCTTGAAAATTTTTATTTATTTTTATTTTGAACATCTCTTCCTTGTTTAAAGATTGAAGTGCCAGAATTATTTGGTTGGTATGCATTTAAGATCTTAGTATTAAAATAGTTACACTGTTGGTACACTTAAAGAAAATACTGATTTAGTGGTGTGGTTGTAGGATTATGCAAATTATGGATTGGCATATCTTATTGACTTTGTACATGGAAAAGGCCAGAAAATGCCTGAAATTTTGCAGGTTGGAGTTTATTTCTTATATTTGTCAGTTCTGATCATACTCATATTTGTTGTTTGTCACACTCAAATTTCCTTTTAATTTGCTGCTGAATATGCAAATATATTATTATATATGGTCTGGGGACTGGATTATCATTAAATCTGCTGAGAGTTTTGAAGTAACAAGGAGAAACCTATATTAGCATGAAATATTTATTGCTAACTTTTAGCTTCCAGTATTACAACACCTTATTCAGATCATGTTCTTGTGTGGCTTACTTTCTAGTTTTATCTTTTGCGCTCTTGTTGAGATGATGATATGATGTTAATTAGTAAATATTCAGCAGGAACAACTGAAAGTTTCGGGGAAGTCCCCTAATTTGCTCACGTTTAAAGGAGCTCCAAATGTGATGGTATTCTTCTACCTTGTTGTACTCTGTTTTGTACTATTATTTTCCTATTGGCAAATGTGTCTGGGTTAAATATGTAAATATGGTTTAGTGTTGAATTTATATCCTTAGTATATGGTATCCTACTGTATTCGTTAATTTGAAATTCGTTTCTTGTAATGTGCTCAATGATTCTTTCTTTCACTTCTAGGGTCTCAAAGACATAGCAGAAACGTTGTCTATTGGTTTAGACAGGTCAGCTTCAGACACTATCACGGCCAATGGTGCGGAAAAACTAAACCAGCTACGGAGGCCATTGTTGAGGTTTGAATGAGCTCATTTTTGTTCTGAATATTTTCCGTGTGGATACATCACATGCGGTGTATTCTGGGGCCCTATACTTTTCTATTATCTGGAGAGGACGGAAGAGATTGATTATATTTTCAATTTGATTCTTACCTTTTGAAAAGAATATGCCCTGTTAAATTGACTGCGTAAATTTTTTCTTTGTTAACGTTACCGTCGTGTGTGAAAACATAATTTAGGGTAGGTTAAAGTCCATGTGTTGTCGGAAGATTGTTTTCCTTAGGAAGGAAATTTTATTTTTGCAAAAGTACAGTGATTCTAAATCTGGAGATGGTGAACATTCAATATTGGCAGTCAAATAAATTTGATGAAATAGACTTCCTTTAGCCCGGAATCTTCTCTTTTGATAAAGAACAAAGCCTGATATAGAGAAATATTTTGAAAGTGTTTTGAACTGTGGGCTCTTTACTTGTCTTTGTAATTAAGTCATTATATAGTTTCATATCAGTTTCTGCAATGAAGGAATATTCGCTTTACTAATGTTAGTCTTAAGAGAGAGGAAACTAGGCACGCGATGCACTGCATGTGTTTATAAAGCATATATATACATATACTGTTACTCTGATTGATCTCCGGAGCTTCTGTCAACCATCATCCAAACTGAGATCTTGATAACTCTTTCCTTGCGATTACAGTTGCTCAATCTGCTTGCTTTATTTTGATTCAAACATACTTTGATTTTTCAGGACTTCCTCAACCAGATGATGATAAGGTCTTCAAATCATGATGACCTAGGTTTTAAGCCTTCCTTCTTCACCTTGTTTTTTATTCAGCAACGACTTTCAATTCTCTTGTTCATTAGATCATAACATGAGCTGTTATGATTTATCACATAGAAATTTACCTCTCTATAGCAGTAATAGACTGTATATTATATTGAAGCTAATGAATTATGAATCTATGTTGTAAATAAAATTTTGCTATCAAGATAAGGTGTACGTTGGTTTGGTGCTACCACGTCTTATGCCAGTTGCTTTTTTATATGATTCATAACTTCTATTGTATTCGTTTTTCCCAACATTGTTATCGTCCTCTCCTAATGGACTGACTAAGTACAAACAGCGTTTTTTTTCCCGTAAGATTTTCTAGAAGTGAAAAATAGAAGGAAAAATTAACATTTAAAATTAACAAAAAGAATTCGCCAAGGTATAATTTAACATTTAAATTTTCTTATATATGTTAAATATTATAATTAAAAATTTATTAAAAGGAATGTTTTAGTTGATGTTTTCTATTCACTTGATGCAGGAAATAGTAAAAAATAAAAGTTGATTTGGGTAGCTGTAGTATAATTAACTATTATAATGTATCAATATACAGAAAATAATTACACTTAAAGGTTATTTTGAAGAAAAATTTGAGTACTCAGAACGGAAAAATCCCTAGTTTACATTGTTGTATATGTCTAATTTGTGAAAAATTAAAAAAATTTAAAGTAATCGAAAAGTAGAATTATAAATACTCAAATATATTTTTTACGATATAATAAAAAGCTTAACACTGCATGTCTATGCTATTGTAAGTAAATAAGCTATTTTAGCATATAATTCTAAAATATAAACGTCAAATTTAATAAGTTAATATAATCACTTTTTTTTTTATGAATTTTTATTGTCGAATTAGTTTTTCAACTTTAAGCTAAATTTATAGTTTTGTTTGCCAGCTTCTAGCCAAATTTTTAGTTAGTTTTGATAAACGCAGCATTTGTCAAATTTTGCACGGAGACTCAAAGGATGTGATTTTAGTATTTAGGACAATTAAGAGAAAACTTACTTAATAGTAATTACTATATTTAAAAAGCGTAAGCAGATATTTAGAATTTTCTTATAGATCAGTGCAAGAGATGTATTTTTCCAATATGCATCTCGGGAGTTTTTAAGTACATTCACGATTCGGTTGGTTAAATTCAATTAATTGGCTGGAAAAAGTATTTTTAATTTAATGTAAAATAGAAATAGTTGTTTAGAGAGAAAAACATATAATTTACTTTGGAGTAAACCATTCAATTGAATCGGTTCATCAATATTTTGTCAAGATTGCTTATGGATACTATTACTAAATATTAGCGTTAAACTGATTTTGAAATGTGTTCTGACATGCATTTATTTGAATTGTTAGTGACACTTTTTTCTTTCTTCCTAAAGCCCTATAACTTGTCTGTTCCAAATAAAGTGTAGATGTTGCTTTTTCTTTTATCAATAAAGAAATTAAATATATATACAAGAGACAGCATTATTTCAACCCATATACATATAAGATCCAGATTTTACATTGTGATGGCTGAAAATCCCAGATCAACCTAAAAAAGTTTATATAACAACAATGTTTGGGGCAAACAGGGGAATTTACATACACTAAGTGCAACTATGTTTAATGTGCAGCTCCAGAACTTTTCACATTTACTTTGTGAACTAGGACATAAATTCCAATCATTATAAGAAAAATAAACATTGGAGACTTTATATTTTATCTATGGACAAACATTTAATTATGTCAAAATAATTTTTTTGTATCTACTCTCCCTTATTTAGTTACAATTTTATTCTTGATAGTTCCATATATTTTAAATAATTATATCTATAGGTTTTTTCATAACTTATTTCCTTTTTTATTTAAAGTTGGTAAAGAAAATTGTTAAAAATACATATTTAATGGATTATGTTACAGTAAGCTTATTCCTACTCATTTATTAGACAAGTATAACAAGTGTTGATGTTGTTAATAGTTCAAGTGTCATTATGTGTTTCTCATAGGTTTTCCACTCTATTCTCTAACTAAGCAGTTATAAGTGCATTCTAATTGAATTAGAGAATTGATGTTTTCATGAGTTTTAATTTGGATTTTTTTGTCAAAACTTGGTCATGTTTTATTAAGTTTTTTTTTTTTTAAATGGGATAGAATTACAGGCTTGTGGTAAATAGGTTTGCTTTGTCATATGAAATTCAAAAAGATGATAAAGTAAAAGGTTGGAGAAGGGAGTGGTGACAGAATCAGGAGTTGTAACTTTTTGTGAAAAAGTGGTCAAAAGTCATAGCTCAGAATTCATGGTACTGGAATTGTTAGCTGAAAATTATAATATCTAGACGCTCTATATATTCAACTGTTAACAATACAAAAAAATTCATTACTCCTAACGTGTACGTGAAGAGGAGAAACAATAACAGATTTTGATGGATAGAAAATTCCAAATAATATGGAAAAAACAAAAAAAAATTAAAAAACACATAAAAAGGGCTCCCAAGAGTAGTTCTTTCTCTTCATGTTGATTTAATAACTGGTAATGATATTTTCAATTACTGTCTTTTTTTTATAAAGGCGTTATTTATTTTGTTTTGTTAAAAAAAATTATGCTTTTGTATTTCTAGTATGCCAAGACTGATTATGTACAAAAATTATATATATATATATATATATATATATATATATATATAAATGATTAATAACTTTTTCATTTATTCATGTAAAAACTTATAAAATTGTGTTTTAGAATTAATAGTCAGTTTAAAGTATAAATGAAATTTTGATAAGTGAGTTTTATTATCTTAAATCATATCATCTTTTAAATTCTTTTTTCTAGAGCTCTATCTCTAAAGAATGTTTTACTTATTGTTTGATAAAATGTTATAATAATTTAGAATAAGCACGAGTTAGAGATACGGAGAGCTAATGGGAATGGTACATATTCTGGTTAAGAGAATGGTTTAGGAGTGTGATATGATGGTTGTTATAGTCTTATTCAGTATTGATGATTGTTGGATGTGGCAGAATTATGATAAAAAACTTAACAACTATGATATAAATTTATATTGATTGATTTTATGTTTATTCTATTAGCTTACTCTTGCATTTTTTTGTGGTTGTGTTTTCATCTGTGATGATTGTATGATTCGGGTTGTTATATGGTAACATATGATGATACAGGTAGTCCGATACATACTTAATGCGGCAAGAATAATGAGAATTGAGAAATTATATTTCTTTGAGAATTTTTGGGGTACGGATTACGTTTATAAAATTGTTTAATGAATTAAAGTTTTAAATTGTTAGTTGTTATGAGTTTTAGTTACAGCTATTTGAAAGTTTTGAATTAATTTCTACGAATTGTTTACTTATTTATATACAGTATGTTTGTGACATCTAAATCAGAGTGCTACAATATATTTCTATTTCACTTAAAAGAAGAATATCACGACAAAAATAATTAATTATTATATTAATTAAATTAAATATTATTTAATATATTAAAAAATTATTATTAATAAAAAACTTTAATTGGGATGTGAATTAACAATATCATTGTCAAGTTAAGTTTATAACTAATGTTAGAGATTTATTCATAATAATAATAATAATAATAATAATAATATTATTATTATTATTATTATTATAATTATTATCTTTATTATCATTATTATTATGATAATTATTATTATTATTATTATTATTATTATTATTATTGAAATATTGACTCCTGAACATATGACTTGCCATTAGTTTTTATATCACAACTGTATTTTATTGGAAAACAAGCGGTTCACATTTCATCTGTTAGTTAAATGTCTCTACTTTTTGAGGTAAGATTGTGTTTAATTTGTCATCTTGCTGGTAAATATATTGTAGTTGGTTCATTATTAATTTTAATTTAATTATTTGATATTCTTCTTTTTGGTTTAGGATCTATTCCAGTCCATGACAACTGCAATTAAGAAGGTGGCTAACAAACTATTAGAAAGGCTTGGCAACACTGTCAATTTTGACATATCAGATGTAAGTACGCTCTGAAAATTCCTCAATCAAATATAATCTTACTAAGACAAGTCACAGATTCAGGACAACTTTAGTAAGATTATATTTGATTGAAGAATTTTCAGCGTACTTACATCTGATATGTCAAAATTGACAGCACAGTCCTTCCTAATAGTTTGTTACCACCTTCTTAATGGGCAGTGTCATGGACTGGAATAGATTCTAAACGCAAAAAGAAGAATATTAAATAATTGACATTAAAAAATTAATCAATGACCAACTACAGTATCTTTGCCAGCACATGAAAATTAAACACAATCGTACCTCAAAGTAAAGACATTAACTGGCCAGATGAAATGAACCGCTTGTTTCCCATATAATTCTGAGTTAAAAGAAACAATTGTGAATATAAAAAACTAATGACAAGTCATATGTTAGGGATGTCAATTATTATCAGTTAGTGTTTGATTTAGTTATGTTTTTTCGTAACCTCTGTAGTAAAGGACAACTCTATTCTCCCGTGCAATATATACGCTGTATTTGCTTCAGTTTTAATTAATGAAGAACAATGTAGTTTCATAACCCCCGATGTGTTTTCTTTAGATCAACGTATCTTGTTGAATATTTACATTATCTTTACTTTTTTTTTTTATAGTTCATAAGAGTTTATTAACCTCTCACATTTTTTATTTTTTTTCTTCTATATTAATAATAATAAACTCGTTATTTATAAAAGAAAATAATAATAAGAAAGCAGAGAGAAAGTAGACACATCTTGTCCAGTAGGTTCTTTTTTTTTTTTTTTTAAATTACATCCATTAGGCGTCTTATCATAAGAGCAGCATGTATACGTTTTAGATGAAAATTATCTTCGTTCATCTATTGACAACAAAATAAGAAAGTATGAAACAACGAAACACAACTAAGTCAAAGTACATGCGTTTGAAAATGATAGACAAAAAAAAATGAAATCAAATTGTCCAAAAACACTATAAGACATTTAAGATTGAATGGAAATCGTTTACTTGTTATATGGTGCAAGACCTACAATCTCCTAGTAATGAAAATGCTATTCTCCCTGTAAAAAAGAATCAAATGCCAACAAAAAATCAAAGACAAAATGTGAGATTATATAATTCATTTTATTAAAGCATTCTAATGTATAAAAATCAACTCTCACAGAAAAAGAGCGGAAAAATATGAACCTTTTCATCTGAATTGTTGGATTCATGTCAGGATTACCTGGTCAGTCACGTCA